TAAAATAAAAAAGAAAAAAAAAAAAAAAACAACAAACCACACAGCCATGAGGGGGAAGGAGAAACGGAGGGGTCACTGCCAGCAGGAAGCCAAAGCTGCACCCCAGAGCCGACGAGCACGGTCGTGCTTCAAGGGGGCTCCGAAGAAAGATGGAGACCGACTTCAGCAGGGCCTGTGGCGCCAGGACAAGGGGGAAGGGGTTTCAACTGAAGAGGGGAGACTCAGACGAGAGCTGAAGGAGAAATGATTTACCCTGAGGGTGGTGAGACACTGGCACACGTTGCCCAGAGAGGTGGGAGATGCCCCATCCCTGGAAACGTTCGAGGTCGGGTCGGACGGGGCTCTGGAGCACCCTGCTCCGGTTGGAGATGTCCCTGCCCGTGGTTGGACTAGGTGACCTGGAAAGGTCCTGCCAACCCAAACTGTTCTGTGGCATCGGTCTCTTCTCCCACGTAACAAGTGATGGGATGAGAGGAAACAGCCTCAGGTTGGGTATTGGGAACAGGTTCTTCACCAAAAGGGTTGTCAGAAAGGGGGACAGGCTGCCCAGGGAAGTGGTGGTCACCATCCCTGGAGAGATCTAAAAGATGTGCAGACATGGTGGTTATGGACATGGTTTAGTGGTGGCCCTGGCAGCGTTAACAGTTGGATTCAATGATCTTATGGGTCTTATCCAACCTAAACGATTCCACAATTTTACAACGGTTGCCATCAGAAAGCGGGACACAATGGATCTCCTTCCCCGGTTGGGATCAAGCTCCCGGGAGCTGCCGCAGACCCAGGGGAGTGCCAGGACCAGCACACTCACCAAAGGACTCGTTGACGGGCAGGTAGGCCTTGACCACGAACATAGGGGTGCCGGCAACCTGGGTCTCCTCAAACACGTGGCCACGCTTCCTGTTCAGCACACCGTAGATGCCACCGACCACCTGCTCCGGGCACTGCGAGAGAGAGGTGTGAGGACCACGAACCGCCTGCTTGCATTTTTGCCCAAGATTTTCTGGGCCAAGTAGAGGTTCCTCACCTGGATTTCCACAAGGTAGATGGGCTCCATGAGCCTGGGCTGAGCGGTGAGCACGCAGGCGTACAAGCATCTCCTGGCAGTGGGAATGATCTGCCCGCCTCCGCGGTGGATGGCATCAGCGTGCAGGGTGACATCGTGCACATCAAAACGCACGGCACGCATGTTCTCCTCGCACAGGACCCCCTGGAAAAAGCAGAGCAGGGGGTCAAGCGACACCACGTCAGGGGGACGGCGGATGTTCCTCTACCAGAAGGCTCCGGTTCCTCAGCTTGCGGGCGCTCCTTGGAAGCGGGTTCTAGAGCAGGAAGCACAAGAACCCGCTCGGCACAGCAAGGAGCCATTCAGCACGTCACCTTCCTTGCCTAGGAGCTCAGACCAGCTCCTCCAAGAAGGCTTCAGGCACCGACACCATTTACCAGTATCTCCACACAACAGCTCCAAGGCTGACATCAGAAGTGCTGACACACATTTATGATGCCACAAACCCAAGTATTTGGCCAGGAAGAAGTAGTTTTTCATATTACTGGGACAAAAAACGTTGTTGCCACAGTATCTTCTTCTTCAGACTAACTTTAAAAAAAAGTCAACAGGGAAAAACCCTCTCCTGTTCCCAGTCTACCTGTCAACTTAGTATTTTGGAGTCATCTCCTCTCTATTCTTAAAAAAAAATAATAAAAAATTGGTAAACGAGGGAGATCTTTGCCGAGGCTCTCAGAGCACCTTTCATTTTCTTTTGATTCTTTTGTGTTATTCACCTTAATAGTTTCCGTCCCTGCTGTGGCATTTTGCTCTCTGAACAGCTTTTTAAAATTTTAAGTACGTGCTGCCACGATGATTTGCTTCTGCAGTCCTGGGAGGAAGCTTTTTGTCTCAAGGTGGTGTGTTTTGTGTGTCTAAACCGACATGACATCATCATTCCAGCTGTCACCAGATTTGATTTATCCTAAAAGATACTTTTGAATTACAAATACCTTGCACTCTATGTGGCAGTGTTTCCACAATTCCTTTGAAAGGACGTGCAGTAACCGTTTACGACACTGCAGACTGCCCGTCCCGGAGCGATCCCAGCCCTGGGCTGCCCTTACCTCCTTTGTCGCCCACTGGAAGCCGGCCACCACGCTGTCCTTGATCTCGTTCAGGTACTGCACTCCCTTGGTGATGTCGGTCAGGATGTTGGGGCCAGTGCCGTCAGGACCGAAGCACCAGATTTTCCTGGCTTCGGTGACATCCCACTCGTACTTCTCAGCCAGGTAACGAGCTCGTTGCTTCAGCTCCTGACGAGCAGAGACCTCACCCTTGTCGATGTCTTCGGCCAAGCCATCTGGGAAGGGCCGGGCCTTCATGTACAGCCTGTTGTGTTTGTTGGGGGACTTGGAAAGGCACATCACGTTGGACTCCTCGCTGACCGTCTCACGGTAGGACACAACAGGATCCGATTTCTGCAGTGACGAAGAGCAACGAGCAGTGAGCCATCAACCAAACCGCAGCTCACCAGATACCCCATCGGAGCTCAGCAGGAGCTCTGCCACTGCAGCCCCCTACCTTGATAGGAATGCAGGCATGGTCCTCTTCCAGGTCCTTCAGGCAGATCTCCAAGTGCAGCTCCCCTGCACCAGCGATGATGTGCTCTCCAGATTCCTCAATGATGCACTGAAAAGACCATTTATACAGCTGGTGAGGCTTCCAACTGCAATGCAACAAAAGCTCTCGCACATTAAATACTAGTGACTGCCTCCAATTTTTGTCTTTGACTCAACAAGCTACTTTTAGATGCTCTTTCCGCTCCTCTGGGGATGACTCAGCACCAGCCCCAAGGTGAAACTTTGGGACCAATACTCAAGACTTTTCCGCTGGCACCCCCAGCGTGATCACGATTATAGGCAGAACAGGAATTCTCCCGTCCCAAAAACCATTTCAGATATTCACCTGCACCATAGGGTCAGACTTGGCAAGACGCTTCAGTCCCTCCACCAGCTTGGGCAGGTCGGCTGGGTTCTTGGCTTCCACAGCCACACGCACGACAGGGCTGACACTGAACTTCATGACTCTCATGTTGTGAGCGTGCTCGAAGGTGGTGATGGTTCCAGTCTTCACAAGGAACTGGTCGACACCAACCAGACCAACAATGTTTCCACAAGGCACATCCTCGATGGGTTCAACGTAGCGGCCCATCATAAGAATGGTCCTGGCGAAAGAGAAAGTCGTTTTACTCAAGTTTGAAAGAGGAGGCCCAACCAGGCAGCGTCCTGGAGTTGCAGCAGCAGGCTTTAAGTCGACGGCCAAGCATCTTGCCTGGCCTCAGAGAAGAGATGCCCAAGACGGTTCTAGAACCACAAACCTGAGCTATGGCTCCACGCACACTCCACCCAGCCAGGACTGACCTTTGAATTGGCTTCAGGTACAGATCCTCCTTCTTGCCAGGTGTGTAGTTTGGCCCCATGATTCTGACTTTCAAGCCAGTCGAGACAAGACCGGAGAAGACACGTCCAAAAGCGTAGAAACGTCCCTTGTCAGAGGTTGGCACCATTTTAGAGATGTACATCATCAGGGGGCCTTTGGGGTCACAGTTCTTGATACCTGGGAGGAGAGGGAGAGATCAACTTAATTCAGTACCGTTTCTCACATTTGGTGTTTTGGAGCATTTACACGAAGAGACGCCCAGTGGCAAAGCTCATCGTACCTATGGCAGCCTCATCATCGGGGGGTCCCTCGTAGAGCAGCTCACAGCGGTACTTCTGGGCTGTGACAGGAGAAGGCAGGTGAATGGTGATCATCTGCAGCAGGGCATCTCCAGCAGGCAGCCACCGCCTCATCACGGCCTGAGCAGAGATCAGAGGAGTGTCACGTTATTCACAACCTGGCAGTTAACCCTCCTCTTCCTCCCCAACCTCCAAGCTGCCAACAGCACCTTCCTACCCAAACAGGGTTTGTAGCTGCTTAGTAAGCTGCCATAGTTGGAGCAGCACAACGACTCATCTCCTCCCCGCAGACGATGCGGGCCAATCTCACCTTCAGCAGGGGTTTGCCCTCCTTGTCCTTATCTTCGCTGTCAAGCTTAATGTCCAGTTTCTCGATCAGTTTAGCCGCCTCCTCCTTCTTGAAGTTCATGATTGCATCAAAAACCTGGAACAGCAGCAGCAGTAATGAAGGTGACCCAGTTTGAAGCAGCGGTGCAAGCACCTCTAAAGAGAATCTCTGGTTTTGCTCATCACCCAGCTGAATCCATTTGGAGGCTAAGACACATATTCGCCTGCGCAGTATCTACCACCAGCCTCCCTGCCCGCACAGAGTAACGACTTTGTCAGATATTTAAATTTCTTCAATCAGACAAGTCAGGTCAAAGTGAAGAAATTTTCCATCATCACGCACTGCCACTCAGCCAAAGAAAACAAGGCACCAGCAAGGACTGAACGCTAAGGGACTCGCCTTGAAGATGGGGTCAAGGATGAGCTGGCAGAAGGTCCTGGGCAGTTTCTTTCCATCAGGGCTGGTAGCAGACTTGCTGAACTTGCCAGTAGCAGGATCAAAATATCTGGCGAAAGAATCAAGTCAGACAACAATCAACGCTCAGTTCAGCTAGGGAGAGGTGGTTTGTTCTGCTTCCTCAGGCCAGAGGAAAGAGCTGCTGAGTAAGAACCATCTTCATACTTTCCCTCATCACTCCCAGGCTTTCAGCTAGTCAAAACGCATTTAACCCACCTTGCCAACGCCCCATCCTCTCCCCATTTACCCATGTGTTTCCTACTCTGCAAAGATTTCAGTTCTTGTGCTAGCACACGCACCAAGCCACTGAAACAGGACTGTAAGCAGGCACGACCGCATCCTCCCTCCTTATCAATCTTCCGCAGCGTCAGGTTGCAGCCACGCAGAGCTGATCCGGAATTAAAATCAACAGCCGCGCTTCCTCACCTGTCTCCCCACAGCTTCTTCATCATGTCTTCTACTTTCTTGGCACGCTCAGATGGATTCAGCTGGGCATCACCCTTGGCAGCGAACTTTGCAACATACATTTCAGCAAACTGTTTCAGAGTGAAAGCCCAGCCATGCAGGCCAGAACCAAAGCCGACGGTACCAAGCACTGGATCGATCTGAAAGGGAACAGAGAGGACAGTTGGGTTACAAAGGAACGGCCACAGCTCTTGCAACCACGGAGCGTTACAGCAGTCAGCACACTCCATCCCAAATGACACTCAAGTACAAGAAGAGTTTTAAGACGGAGCTTCAGGACTATTCTGTGACAGCAGCCATCTCCAAGGTCCAGGGACAGCCTGACCCCCACCCACAATTTTATCTTTGTACCACAAAACTAAATTGTTTTTCCCTTCACTTCAACCAGCTACATACTCAAGACAGCTCAGCAGCTGCTTAGATTTGTGCGCAGGTAAGATTCCTGTCCTCGGGGAGGATCAGCAATACACGAAAACCTGCAGCATGCAGGAGAGTGCTCAATGGGAACAAAGCGCAAGCTTTTTCTCAGAGCTGACAGCCCTGCTCGCTACCCAGGAACCCAGCGGGGAGCAGTGCTCGGAGCGCAGGGACTGGCGAACACCTACTGGCCTTCCATTTCAGAAGACGGCCGGGGGAGGGATGCTGCGTAGGAGCCTAGGATCTCGCATCACCTGACATCACAGATGTGATGTGGGCAAGGAGGTGTCCTACAAAACAAGGGCACCCTCGGTAAAGAGAGAAAATACTTTCCTGTATTTATAATCTTTATTTGCTCAAGCTTTGAGCTAACACAAGATTTGGAAGGAAAGCTAGCGAGAGCTCCAAACCAGGGCAAGCCCAGGTAGTACAGGCGTCTTCCTTGTCCTGCTCTCGCTTCTCCACTCGAGATAGCAAAGGGCCACAACCGTTCCCCCTCACCAGTTTCAAACACAGCCTCCCACTTACCATAATATTTCCCATGGGGCCGCTTTCTCCTTCTCCATACGTGGAGATAATGACGTTCACGTTTTCCACGATGCGCTGGAAGGTCTGGTACAGCTCTTCTGGCTCTAGCTGCAGCTCCAGCAGCGCTCGGTCCATCTTGTTCATCATCAGGACAGGCTTAATCCTCTCGGCAATGGCCTGACGCAGCACAGTCTCTGTCTGCACGCACACGCCTGCCAAACACAGGGGAATTAGTTATCCTCATCTTCAAACTCGCCCAATATAGGCTCCAGTGGCACATGGCTGCAGAAAACCTTACCAGAGACACAATCTACAACAACCAGGGCACCATCAGTGACACGAAGGGCAGCGGTGACCTCTGAAGAGAAATCCACGTGCCCAGGAGAGTCAATCAGGTTGATCAAGAAACCAGAACCATCCTTGCTCTGCTTGATGAAGGCCAAATCGTTTTCAGAGAGCTCATAAAATAGAGAAATAGCTCTGAAATAAAAGAAAAACCATTACAACTATAATCTACGCATTACCCCTCCCCCAATGCTTAGAAACAGCCTTTTATCCCACACATCAGCTCTGCCTGTCCTGAAGCATACTCCTGGGAGGCCAGTGGGGAGATAATCAGGAGTGCAGGCTAAAATCTGCCCTTCCTGCGCTTTTCTGAGATCGTAACCGCTTCTGAAATCATAACCTCTTCTGACTCTGTGCAATCTGACTAGCCCAAAGAGGGCTCAATTTCTTTCAATCGAGGATTTACGGTTTTTTTCTACTAGGCCCTTTTTGATCCCCTTTCAGACACCAGGTACATTATCAGCGATGCTCCCAAGACAGTCTCCGCACCGTGCCCACGGGACTCCAGCAGACATCAGCCACATCCAACAGTCCCAGCACTAAAATGGAAGGCTGAAGCTTCCAAGGTACATCTATTTCCCAGTGGCCACCGAGGTAATGCTCTATGATTCACCAGAAGCCAATCAACACTTGCTCTTTCATTTAAGCAATCCTTACGAGCAAGAGATGAGCTTCTGAACTAGACTAGAGAAAGCCCGACGCCGTCTTCTTTCATCTCACGATTAAACCAGTTGAGGACTCAAAGCCCCCCCCTCGAGTTCACACCACGCAGCTGGATCATCGAGGCACCTAAAGGGAGGGAACTCACGTTGATTTGATGGTAATGCACCGTTCCTGCTCATCTTTCCTTGTGTCGGTGAAACGGGTCTCCCCCGCACGGGCAGAGGCGATGATACCAGCTTTGCATACCAGAGAATCAGTCAATGTTGATTTGCCGTGATCAACGTGGGCGATCACAGACATGTTTCTGATGTTGGCCTTTTTGTCCATGATGGCCCGTATCTGGTCTACTGTGAAGTTCACCTTGAAGAATGAAAGAAGGGGAGGAAGAGGAAAATGCAGGGTATATAGAAACGGCTTTGACAAT